TATATATATATATATATATATATATATATATATATATATATATATATATATATATGTATGTATGTATGTATGTATATGTATGTATGTATGTATTGCATCTATGTATGTATGTATATATATATATATATATATATATATATATATATATATATAGAGAGAGAGAGAGAGAGGGGGTGATGGTTAAATTGTCGCCATTTTATATTTTAATTTCGCGCATGCGCGTTGTTTGTTTTTTATTTTATACACTGCCCAGTATAGTAGGGTAAGTTGGGCACCGTCTGTGACAAAAAAGAACACCACGACGCAATTCACTCCGCCAGAAGTTTGGAAACGGCATGTTGTACTGCTTGTCATTCGCGCCGGAAACTCCAATACGAACATTCCAGAGTGTTTGTGTCAATCTGAGAACAGTCCAGAGGATTCGGAAAGAGCTTAATGAGTCTATTACTAGTGATGACGACGATATGCCTCCATTTATCTTCACACACTGCCTCAGACTCAACACAGAGGCCCACATCATATACGTTGAGGAGGTAATGCTGCCCTGGGTCAACAAGGTGGCTGCTGGAATTAATGCCACACAAACAAACAGAATCTAGTGATGGCTGTGAGACATCACACCTTACATCTGGCCACCTACCTCCCCAGATTACAACCCTCTCGATTATGTGTGGGACACAGTTGAGCGAGAGATCAACAAAATTCACTGTAACACCAAAGATAAACTGAAGGCAAAGATTACGGCAGCATTCCACAACTTAAACAAGGAGACCGCCCAGAAGAGTTGCTGAAGATTCCAAAGTCATCTCGAGGCCGTGGTTGAAGCCAATTGCGATTTAGTATTTCCAGATATTTTTGTCATTTTGTCAAATATATCTGTTAAAATGAGATGTCAGTGTTATTTCATTTTGCTTAATTTAGACGGCAATTTATCTATCGCACCTATATATATATATATATATATATATATATATATATATATATATATATATATGTATTTCTTTCTTTCATTAAATACGGCATCATTACGTTTTTCCGCTTTATAAGAGTAACAAAGGAGTACAAAAATTGTCTATAATTTTTATTGTCTCAAACGCTTTCGGCAGGTTCAATAATCATTTTGAAGAGTGTTTTATCTTTGGTGTTATTAATTTTTCTTCGTGTTTTGACTGTTATGTTGTAATTTATTTTTGTGATGTTTTTGAATATCAGCGTTCATTTCGAGCCTTTATGTGTTGCGCGGCTTTTTAAAAACCTTTTAACACTCCATTTCCGCTGTAAAGTTGATAATAGAAGATAAATATTTGATATACAGAGCCTCTCTAATAGCGAAATGTTTCTGATAATATAATATATAATATATAGAATTTTAGTGTTTTCGACCGGGATTTTTCTTAAGGGTTCTTTTAAATTGCCGGTTGATAGATGTTCTTTTATAGCACATTGGTCTGATAAGTGACACATGAAGCGTCTACTCAAGGTGGTATTATGTCCAATATAGGCAATTGATTTGTGACAAGAAACACAGTCTTGTACGGAAAAATGTAAGGAAGCTGGAAAAACTAAATAAAAAATTAATTACATCTTCCTTGTCTGCTATATAAATATAGATTAAAGGGATTAAAGATGTTTAAAAGGTTGCTGCCTAAATAGATATAAATATATACCTTCATACGCCTCTCACTTTGTGCATGAACTAGGAACTAAACAGATAACTAAATTTGACTTCTTGGACCCCAGACTATCCAAAACGACTGAGCTGGACAGTATTGTTGTCTGGAACAATACTGTCATTATTTTTTTTCAAATTAAATAAGAAAACTAGCTTCTTAATCTTTTATGTAAATTTTATATACGAAAGAAAGTCTTTCGGTCCCATTCCAGAAAACAAGTATGAGTGATATATAAAAAAAATGTGCATTTAAAATCCAAACAAAAATGTTTACAAAAAACTAATAAATCTAAAATATATTCATTTTCGACGAGGATCTAATTAATAATATAGAATCTGAAATTTTGAAAGCCTATCGTCTGATTCCCTCCCTCCATTTTTAACATCTGATTTAGCACCTCACTTTTGACTTTGGGGTACCGTGTTTGCATTCTCTTTTTGATAAGCACATTTCTTTGAATTCTGTTGGTAATACTACTACTACTACTACTACTAATACTACTACTACTACTACTACTAATAATAATAATATTTTTTTTAGGTTTTAGGTGTTAGCACCCACTGAATATTAATCTCGGCATGATAGAGTGGGCCAATACATGCAATATCCAACTTTTACGGGAAGGAAACTGCAAGAAACCGGTATGAACAATCACCCAAACCCGGCTACAGAGATAGGACCTGTAACAATTTTATGGACATTAAAATACACACAGGCAGAACAATCAAAGCTAATCGCCCAGACATCGTGTTTAAAGACCACAAAAACAGAAAGTGTTTTGTTTTATTGACATGGCAGTTCCTGCAGATTGTAATGTATCTTTGAAGATCTTCCAAAAAAAAACGATCAAATTACAAAGATCTTGAAATGGAAATCTAAAAAATGCGGCACATGAGGACATCAATAATTCCAATTGTAGTTGGAGCCCTTAGATTGATTTGAAAAATCCGATAGACACATTGAAGGGATTCCTGGTAGCCCACGCCTTAAAGAAATACAAAAAATTGTTCTCACAAGTACAGCTCACACATTACGAAGAGCTTTACCTTTGTAAAATGTGCTTGATATTAGTTTTTGGGGGCTTTTTGTTTTGTTTTTTTACAAAAATGATAAGTGGAAAATGTCATGAAGCTATTTTTTACCTTGGGTCTCTTGTGACCCGGAGACAAATGAGTATACACCAAAAATCAAAGGAAATAATAATAATAATAATAATAATAATAATAATAATAATAATAAATTAATTCGATAACTCAACTCTCCATTTTCTCATTGATTAAATTGACTGTAAAATTTTTACCAATCTACCGACAGCAAAATAGATATAAAAAAAAAACAAAAACGAAGCCGAACAAAGTGTATAATAAACCAACACAATAACACAGCCTGGAAAAAACACCCAAATAAACACTTTTAGGTAATTGATATTTGATTAAACAAAAACAAGAAAGTTTGAATGATTTGATCAATCTATCAGTATTTATTCACATCACTCAAGATAACATTTTCTCGTCTGTTCAATCAAGTATTAATCACCTACAATGTTATGCATGAAAATGTGTTCGAATAATAAAAAAAAAGAACAGGCGTATGTATATTTAAAATTGATTCCAAATTCGAGTAACACCTAAATGAATGTATGTTAAAATATTTCCCCATCACACACACACACACACACACACACACACTAGAGAGAACATTATGAGAGATCGGTAATGACAACTGTTATCAGATATAGTCCACAAACACAACCAAAACACAAAAATGTAACGACGACTATGATCTCCAGGCTCAAAGATCGCAACATTGTTTTTTTCTTCCAAGATTTATTTCGTGTATTGATCTCATTCTTTTTGTTGCCTGCTTTTTTTTTTGGGGGGGGGTGCTACCATAGCGCACGGTCCTCTTCAAGTGTAGAATCCGTAGAAGGTGTTTCCGTACCTGGAGGAGAAATGGGATCATAGTCCATGGATAAAGGTAATATTTTCGGAAGCACCGCTGGAGTGGGAGAACACTGAAAAAAAACTGCGTAAGACAACCTTAAGAATAACTGTATAAGTCGGGCTAGTATATATTTCTTTGTTAGGAAAAGAAAAGATTATAATTAGCAACACCAAATACCAAAATATGGAATTGCCTGCGTTATACGCGTTGCTGTGAGGTTGGTCTGATCAGAATAATTGACACCATATTCTTCTATTGATGATAGTATTCTGTTTTGCACTACCCGATAAAATGAGACTCTCTTACTTTTTTTTTTTTTTTTTCATATGGATTATACCTCTGAATTAGGTTGTACAGACTGTGGCAGAAATACCTCCTACATTTTAAACTGTGACCCGCGTGGTGCTAGTGAACTTAAGCAAGTGGCAATAGTGTCTTCATCTCGCTAATTACCATGTTTTCATAGATACAATCAATTAACATCATGGCTTGGACAGTTGCACACCGTGCGTTTGTTGTTGAAACTTTTTTTAACACTGGAGAATCTGTAATTGCAACACAGAGTTTTTTTTTGTGCTCGTTTCATGTTATGTCGGAATGATGCTGTTCCGGATAGAAGATCGATATTACTAGGGATTCAAATTTTCAGGGCCACAAGTTCAGCGCTTAAAAGAAAGCCACCTCAAACCGCTCGTACTTCCGGGTGATGGAAAACTTTAGAAATCGTCTACAACATTGTATAGCGAATAGGGAGAATGTTATGTTTAAAATAAAACGAATGAAATCTATAGCCCTTTATTTAAACAACAGTGGAATAATTTTTTAACATCTGTTACATTGGTCTTTTTGTCAACCTTTAAAATGTGTGAGGTATTTCTGCCGCACCCTGTAAAATGGATCTGCGGAGATGGTATGGAAACAGGAAAAGCAACACAAAGAATGAGATAAATAAGCGGACCAATTCTTGGATTGATGACGTCTCATTGCAAAATTATCGAAAGTTTTTAAATATTTATAATAAAGAATGGGAATAAAAATGTCAGTCAGAATTAGAACACAGTCATAAAAGATGGTAAAGAAATAATCAGGTCCTTTTTAATAATAGATTCGAATAACTGGTCAGCGTATGAATAATAGATAAACTCTGGAAGATTTGGGACCTCTTTTGTAGAGAAGATAATCCATCTGAAAGGATATTGTTTATGAAAGAAGTAATTAGAATGATTGATTTTTTTTAATTGTTTATCGCAATTTTAATGATCTTTTTTTGTTTTATTTTAATTTCTCTTAAGTGAGTAAGCAAAATAGAAACAATATGGCGATTCAGTTTAAAAGTAATAAGCGCATGCGCTACACGATTTCTTCGTTTTCCATTTTTTTTTTTTATAACAGTTTTTCTGCTCCACTACATGTCTTGTCCAGCATTGCTCTCCATACGTTGTAATGCAATGGGGCCGTGATCGAATGGCTTGCAATACGTTTGTTCGTTGCCAATTCGCACACTGTAGCCCGTTCCTTCTGATTATACAACTTACGCGGGATTGGATGGTACTTCATCCGGACCACCTCGGCCAGAATACCGGTAATGTAGACATCTTCCATCGATACGTACGGGAGATATTCTGCAGCATCCATTAGGTCGTGGGCCGTCAGGGAAAGAAACAAATAAATATTTCCAGAAACATACGAAGGATAACGAAAATATGGGTATTCTTCCCAGCTGACTTGCCACTTTGTGTAATAGCGGAAAGGAAAGGGCTTATAATTTATAAAGCCCATTATAGTTTTTTCCCAGTAATCCCTCGAGATCACGTAATCGACCATCATAGGAACATTAACGAAAGTATCATCGTCGACCTTCAAAATAAATTCGGCTTCGGCACATTGCTTAAGCGCCCACTTAAGTCCCATAAGCACTTTGAGTGTCAGATTTCGGTAATTTTCGGTAAAGTTTGCCTGTACGACATCGTTGTACTGAGCACTTTCGTGAAGTAGCTCTCGATTGTATGAGTTGTTGGAGTGTTTCCCGAACAGGAAGACGACTTTCGTGATGAGATTTGGAGGCGTGTCCGGAGGCAAGCTTCCGGCGGGTCCCCGTGGCCAATGTTTACCGCGGGAAATGCTTCCCCATGTTGATCGGATAGCATCTCGTTCGGCTCGTCTGGAGTGCAAGGATATGACCAGGATGAGGAAGAAGGGAGCTCCATCCCGACAGATGTCCGTACCAGGTATAGGGTAGGTGAAGTCAAGCGGGTTGACACGTTGCCGGTGCCGACGGTAATAACTATAGGTTTCTTTGATTGACTCCAAGTATCCATGGCTGTCGGATCGATACGGTGGGCCGTTAGTGAGAACGTGAAGGAAAAAAGAGCCTGCCGTTAAAGTAACAAGGGCGGCTAGAGCGTGTATGTGGCATTTTCTCGGGGAGATTGTAGAAAGCATTTGGAAATGGCGTCAGCCCGGATATCGCAACTGGAAGGGAACCGGTCTGAAACGAAACAAAAATAAATTAAAAATTAAAGACATTAGTTTAAAAGTCGCCAAAGGCGATTGTTACTCTCAAGATCAAGCATTTCCAATTTATAGAACATTTAATTATTTACCAATAAGGGGAGACTACACAAAAAAAAGCTAAAAAATATTTCAAATTCAAAGTTAACTTTATTTGTACACTTCTTTTTCTATGTGCCTTGTCCTTTCAGGACGTAGGCGATCATGGTTCTCCACCTCCTTCTATCCCTTGAAGCTCTCAACAAGGTCCTTCCCTCTGCCACCTCCCACAGACCACCTTCTGCCATCCACTTGCTTAAGCCCGCTAGGTATGTCATGCATTGTTTTCCCTTGTCTCTCTTTCCTTCATTTCCAACCTTGAGTTATCAGATTCTCCGGGCCCTCCTTCATCATTATGTGTCCCAGGAACTTCAGCTGCCTCTTCCTGATGTTAAGTATAAGCCTCCTCATTGTTTGTATCCTCTCTAAGACCTCATCGTTGCACACACGCTCGGCCCATGATATCCTTAGCATCCTTCTGTAGAACCACATCTCCGATGCCTCGAGTTTCTTCTTCATCTTTGAGGAAATCGTCCAATATTCGCTGCCGTAAAGAAGGACAGATGTCACGTAATGAGGCATGTGTTCGAACCACCTCAAAACCCTTAATCCCTTTTTATTATTACTGAGCCATGACTGTGAGTACAGAAAGGAATATAATCATATCATTGGGGATAGGGAAATAGTAAAGAGAAACAGAAGGTAGAGAAAAGAAGTAGAGAGAGAAAGAAACAAAAGGAGAGTGAAAGAGAATGAAAAGGAAAATGTGTGAGTTTGAGAGAGAGATAGAGAGGGGGAGAGTGACCGACGAGAAACTGAGAAAGTGAAGAAGTAGATAGATAAAGAGGGAATGGGAGAAAGCGGGCGAAGAGAAACAAGGAATGACATAGGAAGAGGGAGCGAAGAGGAACAGGGAGGGGGAAGTTGAAAGGTAAGTAAGCATAACAGCTCAGTATTCTTTTCTTCGTTACCAAAGAAATTCTCCTGTCTCGTAATACTCTGCCCAGCTTTTGGAATGCGTCCTTGGCCATCCCAATACGTCTAACGGATCTCAGTGTCGCATTTACCGTCCTCTGTCAGAACGCTTCCCAGATATTTGAACTTCCGCGTCTGCTTGATTATATTATATTATATTGCAATCCAGTACTCCTTTCTTTTGTTTGTTACAAAATTGTCTTTTTCCCCCATACTTTGTTTAGCTTTTGGATGGATCATTCTCTATTCCTATATCCCTTCGGACTTCGGTATCACATTTTTCCTCATCATCTTCCCAGATATTTAAATTTCTGTACTGACTCGATTTTGACATCTCCATTTCGTTACTCGACAATCATTGATTTTGTTTTCTTACAATTGATGGTCAGTCCTTTCTTCGCGCTTTACTTTGCTACCTTGATACGATAGACACTTCATTACTTTCTTTCTGTGTCTGCCATGGACACGATAAACTCTTCCTTACTTTCTTTCTGTGTCTGCCATGGACACGATAAACTCTTCCTTACTTTCTTTCTGTGTCTGCCATGGGCACCATAGACACTTCATTACTTTATTACTTCCTTTATATTACTGTTTTTTTTTTAAACAAAAGCAGGTCGCTACACATGTTGAATGCTAGGGAAAATTGTGAAAAATTGAATGTAAAGGGCTAGTTTGTAACGAAGCTTAAACCCAAATATCGCATGCTGAGAGCTCGTAAAGAATGCTTAAAACCACTGCTACATAATAGCTGATATATTTTTTAAGATAATAAAACAGAGATGTCATATTGAAGAAATAAGAGTGGCAGATTGATTGATATTTGTACTTCGTTCAATCATCGAGATTACTGAATCAAAAGTGGTGCGCATGCGTATCAGAAAAGTATACAAAATACCGCAATTTCTTTATTTACAGTGAACCTTGAACGTAAAGTACAAAATAGCCATTGAAAAAAGAAACAAAGGAAATTATGACTTTGTTTCTTTTTTTCCTTTTCTTCTGCTTCCTTTCTTTCTTTCATTCTTTCTTTTTTCTTTCTCTTTCGTTCGTTTCTTTTTGTTTTCTTATTTGTTTTCTCTTTTGTTTCTCTTTCTTTCTGTTTCTTTCTTTTTCTTTCGTTCTCTCTTTCGTTCTTTCTTTCATTTTCGTGTCATTTTTTCTTTTTTTCTTGCGCTTTAATTCTTTCTTTTCTATTTTACTCTCTTCCATGATTTTTCTTTCTTTATTTCTTTCGCATCTCTTTCTCTTTCCTCTTTCTTTTACTTTCTCCCTTTCTTTTTGTTTCCTTCTTTCTTTTTTCTCTCACTTTTGTGCTTTTTCTTTCTCTGTCACTCTTTATCATTCTTAATCTGTCTCTTTCATGCTTCCTTTTTCTTTCTATCTCTCTTTCTTTCATTCTCTTTCTTGCTTTTTTCTTTCTCTTTCTTCCTTGCTCTTTCTTTGTTCTTTTTCTTTCTTTCATTCTTTCTTTCTTTCTTTCTTTCTTTCTTTCGTTCGTTCTCCCACTCTCTTTTGTCTCTTCTTTCACTCTTTTTAACTTTTACTTTCTCCCATCGCTCCCTCCTCTCTCTCTCTCTCTCTCTCTCTCTCTCTCTCTCTTTTCACTCGTGATAAATGCGTTTCCTATCAGTTTGTGGTGATTATATCAAATGACAGAGGGTAAGAGGATTAAAATATTGATCTGTTGGTAATATAGAAAAAAAACCCAGATATTTGTAATATAAAAATATTTTCAATATTCTCTAATCCGGTGATATCGACAAGGTCTCTCCTCTTTCTACTCATTTTCCAACACTCCCCCTACCACTCAGTTTTCTCAGTTCCCTCTCAACTTCCTCCATTTTTTCCAATTCACACCCTCTCCCTATTTCTTTTTCTGTCTGTTTTGCTTACATCCTTTCAACTTCCACCTCCCGAGTTTTTCTTCACTCTCTCTCCCTAAGTCAATATTTGTTTCTATTCGCTCACTCTCTCCCATTTCCCCCCACTCTCTCTACTCTTTCACTCTTCCAATCTTCGTTTCTCGTCGGTCAATCTCTCTCTCCACACCCTTATTTTTCTTCGTTACTTCAACATCTCTGTTTCGTTTCGCTCCTTCCCAGAATTTCATATTGCTCCTTCTCATTTTTCCAATTTTGTCTCTCTCTCCCTCCCTCTCACTCTATCTATGTCTCTCTCAACCTCACACATTTTTTCTCTTCATTCTCTTTCACTCTTCTTTTTATCCCCCGTCTTACTCTCTCTACCATTTCACATGCCCACCGATATGATTATATACTCTCCCTCTCTCTTTCTTCTCGGTCTACTTTCTGTACTCACAGTCAGGGCTAAGTAATAAAGTAAAGGATTAAGGGTTTTGAGGTGGTTCAAACACATGCCGCATTACGTGACATCTGTCCATCTTTACGGCAGCGAATGTTGGAGGATTTCCTCAAAAATGAAGAAGAGACTCGAGGTGACGGAGATGTAGTTCTACAGAAGGATGCTCCTCTTATATCTTTCTCTATCTACTTCTTTTCTCTCCCTTCTGTTTCTCTCTATTATTTCCCTATCCCCATCTATATGATTATATTCTTTCTCTTTCTTCACTGTCTTAGCCTCATTCGGGTTCCTCCCGTCCGTAGGAAGAGAATTCAACCGAGCAGTCGGTTCAAAAGTGAACGACTGACTCTTGTGTCTCTCTTTACAAGGCCAAAATGTAGAGCAATGCTACCCTTTCCGAGCGCATACGATCTGGCAAAAAATTACACGTGTTCGGGTAGCTGTCTATCTCACGAGACAAGACTCTCCCCTTCGGCAAAGTCTCGTCTGGGTTCCTCTCCACCTGGAGGCAGAGAGACGATCAATCATTGTTTCTTCGGTATTTACCCGAGACCTCCCCACAAGACGGTTTTTTATGTGGAACGTTCTGAGTCCAGAGGCTCGAGCAAAAATTTCCCGTAGAAAGTATACGTTGACTCTTCTTGCTCATTAAGAGGGAGTGCTGTTTAAATAGAGTTAGTCCAATCTGTCTCATGGGGGTGTTCAGCTAGTCCACAAAAATTTTCCACTTTGCTGCTCCTATCAAACAGTGTATGACGATAAACTCCATCCGACATCAAGACCTCTGATCAGATGGTGTTTTTAGGAGCTTGGAACCACCTCTTAATTGCTGGTGTTCCCAAGTTCACCCGGACCCGGGGCGGTAACACCTATTAGGGTCCCAACTATGGGCTAATAGTTAACCCCCAAACTGGGGTCAAAACACTATGAGAGTATAAATATAGTTTTTAATACCAAAAATATTTTGTAAAAAATTATTACCAGCAATGAATTTTTTAAGTAAGTATTATTACCAGCAATACATTATTACCACCAATACATTTTAGAAAATATTATCAGCTATACACTTTGGAAAAAAAATACCAGCAATAAAAATTTTAATTAAAGAACCCATTGAGTTGTTAATATGCCGTATAACGAAAGAAAGCAAACAAACGAAACCACTTCCCTTCACTACCTTCGCTAGGAATTTTTATGTTTATCGTGCCTGTGTCATCTGCATAGCGTATGTTGTTAAGGTTGTGGGCGCCAATAATGAATCCTGGTAGGACTTTTCATTTTCTCAGAATCGTCTTACTGTATAGGTTGAATAAGTCCGGTTTGAAGACACATCCTTGTTTTACAATCCTCTCTATTTTTGTATATTTGCTAAACTCATTTTCTATCTGTATGCTGCTAGTATAGGTTTTTCATTGTTCTAACATCTTTCCTAAAAATGGCAAAATTGCTGAGCAATTCCAACAGATCTTTGTGGCGTACTTTATAAAACGCCTTAGCGTAATCTATAAAAAACAGGCATACGTCTTTCTGCAATTGAATTGCTCTTCCTGGTAATATTCTGAGCATAAATATCGCTTTCCTTTTTTCAGTGT